TACTACTTTCTCTGTCCACAGAGCCCAGAGGCCTGCAGGCAGCCTGCAGAAGGGCCTCAGCAACAAGTTGCTTTAAATGATTTCTAGTGACAGCACCTGCTTTTTGGGTGACCTCTGGTATGTCACTTAACAACTCAGAGCCTGTTTCCATCTGTAAAACAGGGATGATTGTAATGAACCTTGAAGGTTCTGTTAAGGATAGAATGAGATCGGGGGAGAGTCAAGATGGTGGAGAAGTAGCAGGCTGAGATGACATCAGGTCACAGGAGATCAGTTAGATAGTTACCAAACCATTCTGAACACCTACAAATCCAATAGGAGGTTGAAGAGAAGAAGAGCAGCAATTCTAGAAACAGAAAATCGACTACTTCCTTAAAGGTGGGACGTGCCGAGAAGTGAATCGGAAACGTCGGGAAAATAGACCATGGTGGGAGGAGCCAGCTCCTGGCAAGTGGCGGAGCAATGGAGCACAAAATCAGGACTTTTAAAAGTCTGCTCCACTGAGGGACATCGCTCCAGAGGCTAAGCAGGGGTGGAGCCCTCGCAGGGACAGCGTGGTCTCAGGTCCCACAGGGTCACAGAAGGATCAGGGATGTCTGAGTGTCGCAGAGCTCTCAGGTATTGGAGCAGGGAAGCCGGCTACAGAGACGGAGCTGAGGAGTGAGCTCTCAACTTGGGTTTACCTTAAACTGTGATCCGTGGCACAATCAGACCACTGCTCTTTGAGCAGGGACCCCACAAGTGGCAGATCCGGGGACTCATCTTCCTTCTCTGGAGGCAGGAATCTGCTGGGTTTGGAGACTCCAAATGGAGCTGTGTGCCAGAGACAGAAACACTTGGTCACAGGCCAGTTGAGCACGGAGCGCGGCCGGAGACCAGGGAGATGGGAGTGATTGACTGCTTTTCCCCGAGGGCGCACTGAGGAGTGGGGCCCTGAGCCCTCGGCTCCTCTAGGCCAGAGATTGGGAGGCCGCCATTTTCATTCCCTTCCTCCAGAGCTCCACGGAAAGTGTTCAGGGTAAAAAGCTCCTGAAAGCTAACTGGAGAAGATTACTCAGCCCTGCCCCTGGCAAGGGCGGTGCAATTCCGCCTCAGGCAAAGACTATTCTCAAATAATTATTCTCAAATAATCACTGCAACAGGCCCCTCCCCCAAAAGATCAGCAAGAACATCCAGCCAAGACCAAGCTCACTGATCCAGGGGAACAGTGGAATTCCAGAGGAGGGGAAAGCAAAGTATGGAATTCATGGCTTTCTCCCCATGATTCTTTAATCTTGCAAAGTTAATTAAATTTTTAAAATTTTATTATTTTCTTATTCTAATTTTTTAAACCTTTATTCTTTCCTCTTTTAACGTTTTTTAACTAGTTTATCTTAACAACACTTTTCTTAAAAAAACTTTTTGAAACTTCATTATTATAATCATAATTTATCCTTCATTGTATCTAACTTTGTTTTTTGTATACATATAGGGTTTTATCTTCTAAAATTTTTTGGGATACAACTTCTAATAGATCAAAATATACCCTAAATCTAGCACAGGGCTTTGTTCTAGTCTCCAGCCTGAGCAAATTCTCTCCACTTTCTTCTTCTTTCTTTTCCTAACCAACTTATCTTATCAACTCCTTTTTTAGAATTTTTAAAAAATTTTCATCTTTACAGTCATATCCCATCCCTTCATCGTGTTTACCCTTATTTTTGTATATATATGTAAGTTTTTCTTTCTTTAAAATTTTGGGAGGTAGTTTCTTCTAAGAGACCAAAATACACCCAAAATCAAGTGGGTGGCTCTGTTCTATTCACCAATCATATATATATATATATTTCTCTTTCCTTTCTTCTCCCCATGATTTGGGGTCTTTTCTGATTTGGTTAACACACATTTTTCTGGGGTCTTTGCCACCCTTTTATTATTTTATTCTCTCATTCATATATTCTTTTTTGTTTTTTGTTTTTTTAAGACTTTATGTATTTATTTGACAGAATGAGAGAGAGAGAGAGATCACAAATAGGCAGAGCAAGAGGGGGAAACAGGCTCCCTGCTGAGCAGAGAGCCTGATGTGGGGCTCGATCCCAGGACCCTGAGATCATGACCTGAGCTGAAGGCAGAGGCTTAACCCACTGAGCCACCCAGGTGCCCCTCATTCATATATTCTTATCTGGATAAAATGACAAGGTGGAAAAACTCACCACAGATAAAAACTAGAGGCAGTACTGAAGGCTAGGGACCTAATTAATATGGACATTGGTAATATGTCAGATCTAGAGTTCATAATGACGATTCTCAAGGTGCTAGCTGGACTTAAAAAAGGCACAGAAGATATTAGAGAAACACTGTCTGGAGAAATAAAAGGCCTTTCAAGAGAAATAGAAGAACTAAAATCTATCCAAGCTGAAATTAAAAAAAGCTATTAATGAGGTGCAATAAAAAAAAAATGGAGGCTCTTACTGCTAGACTAAATGAGGCAGAAGAGAGAATTAGTGATATAGAAGACCAAATGATGGAGAATAAAGAAGCTGAGCAAAAGAGAGACAAACAACTACTGGACCACGAGGGGAGAATTCGAGAGATAAGTGATACCATGAGATGAAACAATATTAGAATAATTGGGATTCCAGAAGAAGAAGAAAGAGAGAGGGGTCAGAAGGTATATTGGAGTGAATTATTGTAGAGAATATACATATATATATATACACACACATACGCGCGCACACACACACACACACACACACACACACACACACACACACACACAATGGAATACTATGCAGCCATCAAAAGAAATGAAATCTTGCCATTTGCAACGATGTGGATGGAACTAGAGGGTATTATGCTGAGCGACATAAGTCAATCAGAGAAAGACAATTATCATATGATCTCCCTGATATGAAGAATTTGAGAGGCAATGTGGGGGCTTGGGGGGGTAGGGAAGGAAAAAATGAAACAAGATGGGATGGGAGGGAGAGAAACCATAAGAGACTCCTAATCTCACAAAACAAACTGAGGGTTGCTGGGGGGAAGTGGGTAGGGAGAGGTTGGTTGGGTTATGGACATTGGGGAGGGTATGTGCTATGTTGAGTGCTGTGAAGTGTGTAAACCTGGCAATTCACCAGGGGCTGGGGTACCCCTGGGGCTAATAATACATTATATGTTAATAAAAAATTAAAAAATTTTTAAAAACATTAAAAAATAAAAAGGATAGAATGAGATCAAGCTCATTGGTGTGCTGTGTAAGCTCCAGAGCGCCCCCCAATGCACACCTGAAGGAATGCACATGCTGCCTCACCTTCCGGGGTTTCTCAGCTGGACCCAGCAGACGCCATGGCAGCATCCAAAGCGAGTTGTTTTGTTTGTAGAGATTCTTCTATATCTCTGGTTCTCAAACATTTTAGTCTCAGAACGCTTTGACCCTCTTAAAAAGTATTGAAGTCTTTAAAGAGCTTTTGTTTGTAGGTTATATCTATAAAACTGAAAAACTTCAAAGCACTTGTTTAAAATTTAAAACCCCCTTGCATGTTAAAATAATAACACGCTTTTATGAAAAACTGTATTTTCTAAAATAAAGCTAGGGAGAAGAGTGGCATTATTTTATATTTTAGGCAAATCTCTTCAATGTTAGGCCTGTTAGAATTCAGTTGGATTCTCATATTGCCTTCTGCATCAGTCTGTTGTGATATGTTGTTCTGGTTCAGGTATATGAAGAAAATCCAGCCTCATTCAGGTATGTAGTTGAAGGGTTATTTTATTTTTATTTTTTTAAGGAGGAATTTTGTTTTGTTTTGTTTTTAAAGATTTTATTTATTTATTTGACAGAGAGAAAGAGATCACAAGTAGGCAGCGAGGCAGGCAGAGAGAGAGGGAGAAGCAGGCTCCCTGCTGAGCAGAGAGCCCAATTCGGGGCTCGATCCCAGGAGCCTGGAATCATGACCTGAGCCTGGAATCATGACCTGAGCTGAAGGCAGAGGCTTTAACCCTCTGAGCCACCCAGGCGCCCCGACAAGTAATCATTTTTTAAAGGCTAGCTGTGATGTGGCATCTGAAACTATATCAATGAACTTCATACGTACTCTGTTACACGAAAATCCATTGGTCTGTCTTGCACTTTGAGTGGATTTTTTTTTTTAACCCATGCATGTTCATAATATCCCACGTTGGCCATTTGGAAGATATTGGTTCCCTAATTTATGTTATCTTCCAATTGTTGACAGTTTTCATTGTAGATTATCGAAAGAACGCATTTCTTAATATCACCACCAATCTCAACTGAAAAACTGTCAATCTCACAGAAATAGTTACAAGTTGCCAAAATTCTAATCTTTTTTTAATAAAGATTTTATTTATTTATATTTATTTATTTGACAGAGAGAGATCACAAGTAGGCAGAGAGGCATGCAGAGAGGAGGAAGCAGGCTCCCCGCTGAGCAGAGAGCCCGATGCGGGGCTTGATCCCAGGACCCTGAGACCATGACCCGAGTTGAAGGCAGAGGCCTTAACCCACTGAACCACCCAGGCACCCCCCAAACTCTAATCTTTTGCTCAAAGCCTTGCATTTTATCACTGGCAAAAAATACCATTGGTTGTTTCCTTTGAAATGAGAGACTTACTTCGTTCACTTTGGAGACAGAGTCTGCGAAATACCCAAGTGTAAATTATCCTGGTTTTCCTGTCATTTGTTCTTTTACATAAAAACGGTGTTTCATGAAGAGTGGCTAATTCAGCTCGCAACTCAATCTCACATATGTTTTTTTCTTGCGATAACCATCTGACTTTGGTACTCAGCCCAAGTGCTTTATGTGTACGTACGATTTTATCACAAAGAATATTAAGTAGAAGTGTAACCAAAGGCTGAAATTTGATAAAAGTCATTTTTACTGCTTCATCAAGGATATTCTTAAGGGAAATTGGTATCCCCCCACCCTCCGGCCCCGACAGTGCGTGGTGACGAAGAATGCAATGATTACTAGCATAGTTAGGTGCCTCTTCTCCCCACTGCGTTTCAGGTAAGATCCTGGTTCACTGTGTCATGGGCCGCAGCCGGTCAGCAACTCTGGTCCTGGCCTACCTGATGATTCACAAGAACATGACCCTGGTGGACGCCATCCAGCAAGTGGCCAAGAACCGCTGTGTCCTACCCAACCGGGGCTTTCTGAAGCAGCTTCGGGACCTGGACAAGCAACTGGTGGAGCAGAGGCGACAGGCCCAGTTCAGTGACAACAGTGACAAGGCTGGTGAGAAGGACCCATAAAGCCCCTTGCACGGCGTGCAGAGACACTCAGGAACAGAGAGGGAAGGCTAAAATCGCCCTGCCCTGGGACTTGGGACAGTGAAACCAAAGCCCGACTTCCTCCCAACTCAAACTTCCCAGGTGTGTGCTGATGAGCAGGGAGGATTCAAAGCTGCCTCCTGACGAGCTCTTGGCTTCACAGTGGAATGAGGCAGACAGCCCTCTCAGCAGAACTGGTTACACATGAGCACATAGCTCTGCACCAAGGCACTTGTATTTATTTTTATTTTTTTATCTGGTAAGATGGAAGCAGAACAGGATTGGAAAATGTCAGGCATTGTGCTGTGATTAAATGTTTTGGCTCTGTCTGAAAGTCATTTTTTTTTTTTTTTGAGACTTTATTTGTCAGACAGAGAGAGAGAGGGAGAGCGAGCACAAGCAGGGGGAACAGCAGGCATTGGGAGAAGCAGACCCCTCGCTGAGCAGGGAGCCCGAGGTGGGGCTCAATCCCAGGACCCTGGGATCGTGCCCTGAGCTGAAGGCAGACTCTTCACCAACTGACCCACCCAGGCGTCCCTGCAAGTCATATTCTGAAAGAATAATTTCAAAGTATAGTTTGGTTTTTTTCCTAGCCGCAGGAAAGTGCCCTGGATACTTGTGTTACGGGAGAGTTCACCCATCTTATTAGCGGGTCCCCTCTCTGGGGCATTCGTACTTCCTTACCATCTCCTGCATTTTCTTTGCCACCCCCAGGCTTGGGTCACTCCCCACACCCCCAATCCGTAGATGCTGCTCTCTGCCGAGTGCAGAGAGTAACTCATTTATTAGGGCTGGGTTGCGTGTCCTGAGTCCCTGTACAGAGGCCCCTACCTTGTGTTCTTCCTCCTTCCTCAGGAGCCAGGGCTCTTCAGAATCTTAGCCAGAGCTGCCACTCCCCAGAGAAGTTCCATGAACTGTGCACAAGAGGTTGACTTCACAATTTTGGAAAAAAGGAGGAGGATACTACTTGGAGAAGCTCCTTTCATTTTGATTCTAGTCAAAGCAACACAGGCTTGTTTTCAGTCACACCAGCACGTATTTGCAAACGTGTTTGGTGTTTAATGGGAGAACAAGGCAGTCAAGTGAGCTCAGGTGTGGAATTTCCCTGCCCCTGAGAGCTAAGCCAGGCACCGAGTTTTATTTATTTATTTTATTTTTTATTTATTATTTTTTTTTTAATTTATTTGACAGGGAGAGATCACAAGTAGGCAGGGAGGCAGGCAGAGAGAGGAGGAAGCAGGCTTCCTGCTGAGCAGAGAGCCCGATGCGGGGCTCGATCCCAGGACCCTGAGATCATGACCTGAGCTGAAGGCAGAGGCTTAACCCACTGAGCCACCCAGGTGCCCCCACCGAGTTTTATTTTTGAGGAGAAAACAGCAGGAAGCAACAAGCAGGAGCAGGTAGATGGCTTCTGGAACCAGGAACCCTAACCTAGACAGAATCCACGGAGAGATGCCGATGGAGATGCCAGAGGTCGAGGACAAGAAAGGAACAAGGTCAGTTCCTCCTAATGATTCAGATTTCATTCTGAGGGAGCCGTACACAGGCTCTTGGGAAAGAGACACAGACTGAAAGGGGCTCTAGGGTCACAGAGGTGCCTACCTCGACTTTCCCATCACAGGATTCCAATAACCCACTGTTCCTTGTCCAGAGAGAAATTAGTATTTCTGCTTTATTGAAATACTGTATTTAATACATCATAATGAAATACTTAGATTTAAATGAATCCATTATGCAGGAAGCATGTAATGCATGGAAGTTCTCTTGAGCTTGTCCCCACCTTCCAACATGCTCCCACCTCTTTGTGGGGGTATGAATCCTACTGAGGACAGCAGAAGCAGAGAACTTTGAGGTTGGAGTAACTGTCTCTTCAAGATGGCTCCCAGGCGCCTGAGGTAGGAGAAAGTAGGAACAGAAGTTTTTGCAAAAACATTTCAAGTCTTCAGGAGTAAGTTATTTGGTCAGAAAGTATTCATTAAGAACTTACCACATGCCCAAAACTGGGTTAGGAAGTAAAAAGTAAAAACAAAATGGCAGGTTGTGACCTAGTGCAATGAGGGAAACAGGTACTGAGGTGAAGAACAGTTGGGGACGAGGCAGTCAAAGACCTCTGTGAGGGGATGGGGTGAGCTGAGACTTGAAGGATTACACCTTCCAAAGGGGAGGGATCATTTTAGCCTGAGGAAAAGAATAGCACTGGTGAAGGCCCCTGGGGTGACAAAGAGGTGTGTTTTTGAGGAACTGCCCTTCAGTGAAGCTGGAGCTCGTGGGTGAGAGGAAAAGTGGAAGGAGCGGGTTATAGAAACTAGATTTTATTTCAAATGCAGAGAAAAACCACTGAGAGATATTAAGCAGGGGAACGGTATGATCTATGTTGTAGGGAGATCACTCCTCCAGAACGGTGGAGAATGGCTTGCTGTGAGTTGAGAAGAGAGGCAAGATGAATAGTCAGGAGGCTGTTGGAACTGTGGACAGGAAGGGGAAGGTGGCCTGGATTGAGACAGTGCCAGGGGACTAGTCCTCAAGATTTGTTTGGAATTATCCTGGAGAATCAACCAAACCTAGAGAGGGGAGAGAAAAATGAAAGCTACTGATTCGGTTTCTTGCCTGAATATGGAGATGGGATTGACTAGGGCAGAAATCGGGGGAGGAGACTGGAGATCAGCAGTTACCTCACATCCGTAAGACCTACAAAATGTGTCCTAGGTCATTTGACCTTGAATCTAGAGGGAGCTTAGAGGAATGTTCATAACTGGAGATGTAATTCTGGGTGTCATCTGTATGCAGGTGGTGTTTGAACTCCTCGTAGTATGAGGTGAGAGGAGAAAAGAGAGGAAGCCCCAGGCCTGAGCGCTTCAGCACCTGTGTTTAAAGCTGGGACTAGGTGGCAGAGGGAGATCCAGGAACGGGGACAGAGAAGGGAGAAGGAAAACCAGGAGTGTGGAATTATGGACGCCCGAGCACAAAGAAATGGAAGGTATTGCTTCATCGTGTAACAGTGCTGGTACTCTGAGTTTTGACTGTAGACCGCTGGGGATAATGCTTGCTTTTAACAACAAAGTAACCTCTATTCGTATGGGCACTTAGCAGCTCCTATAACACCATGGATTTGTTGGCTAAGCCTTTGAATCAGAGAGACGACAGCTATGGCCTTTTCACAAGGTCAGGTGTTGTAGGAAGGGCTGCCATTTGGAGACCTGGGCTTGTTTCAGCTCACATAGTTGAGCTGAGTCAGTTCGGGCCATGGCTTCTTGGAGCCCAGTCTCTCCACGTGCACGCTGGAGACAGCTGCCCCATCTCCTGCATAGGGTGGGCCGGTGGGCCACGTGGAAGGGCTGTCTGAAAGCTTGGCAACAATATTGAGTGTTTCTAAAACAAAATGTCGGCAGGGAAGGCCAATGCCTTCACACCTGGGTGGGCCCCGCTTGGGCCATTCAAAAGTTACAGTGGACAGCTGATGACCACTAGAGACTCTTAACACGGTAAATGAAAGAACACATTCCTGGGCTTAAAAAACGTGGCTTGTCAATGAATCTCAAGCCGATGGTGACTCCATGTCAGTCCTGACGAATCCAGGTTCCTGTTTTCCAGGATCTTTGGCACCACCTTTACCTCTGAATGGCTTTCTCTCGTGAGTAGGATTCTGAGGCCACCTCAGATCAGCAGTTTCTCTCCTCCCCAAAGCCTTTCTGTCCTGCCCACGAATGTTGGGAGACTGGGCCTGCGGAGGGATTCTGTTCCTGGCTCTGCTGCAGTCCCTCGGGAGCCTGTGACGGAGTCCCCAGCACTGTTCTTAGATGCTGGTCTGGCAGGTCTGGGGCAGTGCCCAGAACTTGCCTTTGAGCTCCCCCAGGGCATTGTGAGGCAGGCATGGGTGCCGAGCCAAGCATTTATTTCTATGCTTGTCGCTCGAATGAAATGTTTCAACAGTCAGAACTTTCTCTGAATGCCATGAAATGTTTGTACACAATGACTTTTCCTGTGGAGGGTGATGGAACCCCCGTTTCACACAAACCATAGGGTGTGATTAGCAAGCCACTGCAAAAGGGAAAACACAGGGGGGAATCTCAGTCCCCAAAGAACCTCCACAGAAGAGGAAAGAGACTACATATGTGAAGGTTTCAAGATGGGGCCAGTGGAAGCTTCCAGATCAGCTTGTTAGCAGGCCCCCATCCCAGCTCCCGGGCTCAGGCAGCCTCTTCCCTACAGGAGCACCCACTGGGCTGCTAAGGTTCTAGGCCGCTGCTGAAGTGAGGCCGCAGTCGAGTCAGGAGAGCGGCACACCATCACCTCCGGCTCTGGAGGTGGATTCGTTTCCTTTCAGTCCAGGAACAGCACCTGGGAGTTTTCTTCCCTTTGTGACGACAGCCCTTGCAGGAGGGTGTTGTTGTAAGCGCTCCCTCAGCCGCTACAGGTATCCCCCCACCGACTGCATCTGTAGGAGGAAAGGACCGAAAGACAAGATCTTGCCACTGAAGCGAGAAGGCCCTGTAACTGTGACAGAGACATAGGAAGGGTGAGAGCACAAGGCAACAAACGCAGCCCAGGCCTGAGATCCTGGGGTCTATGCCAGAGGCTGCCTTCTATTGTGTTCTGAGCCTACGTGAAGTCTGTGTCTATGATCTAAAAAATGATTTGTGTCAAACCACTGATGGAAAAGCAATGCTCTTCCCTCAAAGAGGTCGACAGGAAGTGGCGGAAGAGTTTAAGTGCCCACATTTAGACACATGGGGAGCTAAAGCAGGCCAGTTTCACATGGGTGCCAAGGCAAGCATTTATTTCTATATTCTATAATAATAAAATGAACAGTCACCTTTCTCTGACTGCCATGAAATTGTGTTTGTAAACAATGACCTTTTTCTTTTTGGTCTAAACTTTAGACTCTAAAGAAAACATCCAGTCACTCATTCACAACAGAGCAAAACTTTCACACTGATTTTTCAAATATATAATCCCGAACTGGGTGCTTTTTGGGTATTAAC